GGGAGCGACGAAGCTCCCGGGTTCTGTCCAAGTAGATCCGGAGAGCTCGCACAGGACATAACGAACCCTGGGCTGGTTCTGCCTCCTCCCGGGGCAGAGCTTGCAGGGTCACCACCTAGTCCCGGAAGGGGACGGATGGGACCTTGGGGATGAATCCGGGCCTGGGTCTGATGGTAACCAGAGAATCACCAGGGCCGAATTCCAGGCAGGATTCGTCGGCGGACAGTGCCTGGAGATCTCCCAACCTCTTAATTGAGGCCAAAGCAAGCAGGAGTGCGGTCTTCCGTGAGAGGACACGCTGCTCTGCCAAATGCCAGGGCTCAAAAGGTGACTTCCGCAGCCCCGAAGGGCGACGGAGAGGTCCCAAGAGGAATGGAGGGTGGTCTAGGAGGCCGGAGGCGCCTAGCCCCCTTGAGAAATCTCACCATGGTGCGTGGCTGCCCACTGATTTCCCTTCAACCCGGAGGTGGAAGGAGAAATAGCGGCGGCGTAGACCTAGAGGGACGATGGGGACAGCCCCCGATCGAACCTCTCCTGGAGAAGGTCAACACGACTCAGATGGGGCATGTCCCGGGGTCTTCCTGCGGGAAGAGCACCATTCGACGAACCGACCCCACTTGCCAGCGTAGCACACTCAGTGGAGGGGGCTAACGCATGGTATAGGTAGTCACCGCGAGGGGTGGTAGAGGCTCGGGGTCCACCGCGGACAGATATGCCATACAAGTAGGGCCCAGAGGTCTGGCCACGGGTGCCTGTATCCCCCCCCCTTGAGTCAGATCTGGACTCAGGGGAAATCGGCCAAGGGGGGGCTGTCACGAGCGCAGAGAGGTCTGGAGACCATACTCTGTTCGGCCAGAAGAGGGCGAAAGAGTAGCCCGCGCTCGTCCCCGTTAACCATGCACAGAGGTTGTGCTAGGAGGCTTCACTGGGGAAAACGCACATAAGCGTTTGTTCCCGGGCCAGCAGTGAGCCGGCGCATCTGTCCCGAGAGGAGCCAGGGACAGGAATAGGAGCCGGCAATGGGTATTCACACGGGAGGCAGCAGGTACCTGGGCCTCGCCGAAGATGTCCCAATCTGCTAAACAGCCCGAGGATGGAGTCGCCAATCTCCTGTCGAGGGGTGGAATCTGGACGGCGGAACCGCGATCCTGTTACACTCCGCAGGGATATGAAGGCTCGAGCGACGGAAGTCGCTCTAACTCCAGAGGAGCAGCTGTTGGGCGAGGTAGTGCAGGAAGCCGGAGGGTACACCGCCCTGGTGGTTGATGTACGCTACTACCGCAGTGCTGTCGGTCCTGACCAGCACGTGCCGCCCCCGGAGGAGCGGGCAGAAGCGCCGTAGCGCTAAAATGACTGCAACTAGCTCGAGACGGTTTATGTGCCAGCAAGAGTGTCTTCCGGTCCAGGCACCGGACTCTCGGTGGGAACCGCACCTGGCGCCCCAACCAGTCTTGGAGGCATCGGTGGTGACCACCACACGGTTGGGGTGGCTCGAAAGAGGCACCCCAGACCTCAGAAGCACTGCGTCTTCCAGACCTTCAGGTAAGGGAGCATGTCTGCCGTGGGCAGACGTAGCACTCCCTGACGCCATGCCCAACTCGGAACTCGCGAGAGAAGCCATTGCTGCAGTGGTCGCATACGCAGGAGCCCGAGTCGCATGACTGGGGCTGCGGCTGACATATGCCCCAGGAGCCTCTGAATTAACTTCAGTCTGACCACTGGTCGAGAGGACACCGCGAAGAGTGCGGTCAGCAAGGCCCTGGTGCGTTCTACCGATAATCGCGCCAGCATGCTCTCGGAGTTCAGCTCCATCCCGAGAAAAGAGATGACTCTCACGGGGGTGAGGTGGCTCTTTTCCCAGTTGACCTTCAGACTCAAACGGTTTAAGTGCGAAAGCACCTTGCCCTGGTGTCGGATCAACTGGTCTCTGGACGAGGCTATGAGAAGCCAGTTGTCGAGGTAATCCAGGATCCGAATGCCTGCCCGGCGGAGCGGGGCTAGCGCGGCCCTGACAACCTTCGTAAAGGTGCGAGGGGATAGGGCAAGACCGAAGGGTAGGACCTTGTACTGGTAAGCATGGCCCTGGAAACAGAACCTTAGAAAGGGTCTGTGCCTTGGAACCACTTCTACCTGGAAGTACGCGCCCTTCAGGTCGATTGTTGCGAACCAATCTCCAGGACGGATGCATGGTAGAATGCAGCGGACCGTCAGCATCTTGAACCGGTACTTGGCCAGGTGCCGGTTTAGACGCCTCAAATCCAAGATTGGTCGCAGCCCGCCTGCTTTTTTGGGGACCAGGAAGTATGGGCTGTAAAACCCTCGTTCCATATCGGCTGGGGGTACCGGCTCGACCGCACCTTTGGTTAAAAGGGCGTCGATCTCCTCTCGCAGGAATGAGGCGCCTGTTCGGGGAACAGGTGAAGCACACCTCGAAACCTGGGGGCGGACACGAATTGAGAATCGTGTAGCCCTGCCGGATTGTCCGGACCTCCCACTGTGAGACCCCGGGAAGCCTCCGCCAGGCTCCCAGGTAAGCTGACAGGGGTCGTGGTCGGGACGTGCCGATGGTCCCCATGGCGGGCCCGCCCGGAGGCGGACTTGTGGGCGGAATCACCAGGGAAGGACCCTGGGAGATGGTCAGATGAGGGGAGGGGTGGTGTGCCCCCGCGCTCTCTGCCATGGCCAGCGGGGCTCGGGCCCATGTCGGGATCTTCGTCGGAGACCGAGGAAGAGGAACCCCAGACCGTCGGGCATGCGAGACCGCTATTCTCTGGAGGAAGTGAGTTCTATCTTTGACACAATGGGTGCCGCCGTCCCGGAGGACGGCAGCGAGGAGTGTGTGGTGGACTCCCCCCCCCCTGGGGGAGCTGGGTCGATGACCAGACCCAAAGAAGAGCTCGTTTCCTCCCGAGTCGCCAACCTCAGGGGAGCTTCACTAGAAACCCTCGTCTGCTTTTGAAAACCTCAGAGGTTGGCTCCGTCTTCCGCATGCAGGGGTTTTCCCCGGACCAGAGGTCGAAGGAGTAAACCAAGGCAGGAGACGTACTCTTTGGCAGCGAACAGGCGGAGAGGGTTCCAGCCCAGAAGCAACGCCTGCTGCTTCTGGCGTGGAACTATACCCAGACCCTCCGCCTGCCTCCTGATCGTGGAGACCTTTGACGAAAATCTCCACGGCGACGCCAAAGAGGCCATCCGGGGAGACAGGCGCGTACGGAAGCCGAAAATCGGTCCTCGGGACGCATTGAAGCCTGCTCGAACCACAGATGGCGTTCCTGGACCACAAGCGGGGACATCGCGTGACCGATGTTCAGCACGGCTGATCTTGTAGCACGAGGCGACAATCAGCGGCTGAAAGCGAGTCTCAGAGAGACTGCTGGTCACCACCACCCTGGTGCATGACACGGAGGACCTGTAAGGTCGCCATAGCATGCAATAATGCAGCAAATTTACCCGCAGCTGAATAAGCTCTCATCATCAGGACTGATGAGACCTCCCAGCTTTGGCGGGAACACCCGAACGAGACCTTCAAGCAGCAGCGCTGTCGGGGTAAGCACCGCGACAACCTACCCACTCGGGGAATCGAAGAGTAACCCGTATCTGCTGCATTGGCCAGAGTGGTGAAGAGGGAGGAGCTCAATCCCCTGACGGGCAGGGGAGCCTGCCAGAATTAGTGCGCTCCTCGTGCTTCTCGGGGAGAAAAAGGCACTAGCGGTATGCGGGGAACCTGTCCCGGCGCCTGCCTAGCCACCAATTCTCCAGCCGTGACAGCATCGACTCGGGGGGGAGGAGTCACCTCCCGCCGATCGAGGCTGCGGCTGTGAGCACCGCGAACGCCTCCGGCTCCAGCTCGGCTGCAATCCCGAAGGAGGCAGGCCGAACTGGAGAACCGAAAGCCGCGCCCCTTCCGATGCTGCGTGGGAGAGCAGATCGCTTACAGGATCATACGAGGTACCGGGCGACACCGAAGCGCCGTCCGATTCACCCGCAGACCAGACGGGAAGCACGCTCGGTGTTTGGGGATGACGCGAGAAATCACCTGATGCCGCTCTACCCAAAACTTCCGCGTGCGACTCAGCAGAGTGCTGCAATGCAAACACTCGCGCTTCACGAGAGCCGAGTTGGTGTGCTGGAAACCAAACACATCGCGCAACTCCCGTGACCGTCTTTTCAACGAGAAGCCCACAACAGCCAGGAATAGTGCACGTTTTGCTCATCGTGTCGTGAAAAATGGACAGGATACTGAGAAAACGGCTGAATCACTGGACAGGCTTGCCTGAGAAGATCTACGAGGTGCTGGCTGTTGGTTGCATGCTATCTGAGCTAGCAGAGGTCACACCAAAAGAGCCAAGAGGTAAGCAACCTGCTGATCTTTCAAGCTAGAAGCGTCAAAGTTCAGGAGAGAGAGTCTCACTCAGTCAGCTCCGAAGGAAAATTGCATACTGAGGCTTAGGCACGCCCGGCTTTATACCCGGCTGATTGCTAATCAATCACCTTCGCCTGCAAATTAATTTGCCCGTTAATATGTTCGTCAGTCGCTCTCACGGTGATTCGCTCCCATTCAGTCGGTCTAATCCCGACTAACGTCTCCGGGACCGACTGAAAGGGAACTTACATTGAGTGGGAACAGAACCGTCTCTTTCTGGGGTTAGTCACGCCCTTCTCTACTTCTGATTGGCCGCATTGGTATCTTCCAATCATTGTCTGGCAGTTCCTTTGTGTAAAAAACAAGGGGTACCACTGTATTAAGACAAATGTCGTATTGAGTATAATATGTAATGAAACCATCAAAATTAAATAAACAATCTCTCAGATTCACTCTTTTGCAAACGGCTTGGCTCAGTGACTTCCTGTCTAAGCAATTTTTCTGCACTCTTTCAAAGTCCTCACTAAAAAATAGCGCCCTCTCTTGTCTGGATCTTCACTTAATGTTTATCCTTGTAACATGAAATGAGAATAGTTTCCAGAAGTTTGCATCTGTTAATAGATAGTGGTGGTTGTTAGCTTTCCTGTGGCTCAGTTGGTAGAGCATTGTGCTAACAACGCAAAGGTTGTGGGTTCAAATCCCTGGGCAAGCAAGAACTGACAGAAAAAATATGTTAATTCAAATGTAAGTCGCTTTGGATAAAAGCGTCTGTCAAATGCATGAATGAATGTAAATGTTATCTTACGAACAGTACCATGCATGTTTCACACACTCAATGCTTGAGACTTGAGAAGTCAGCAAAAGGAATGAGTGGGATCCACAGGTTTGTGAAATCAAATGCAAATCAATCTGACAATGGTTCGTTTTTAGAGAGCATTAAAGATTTGTGGTGTTTAACATAAAACCCCTGGATTTTTTTAGGACAATTTTATACAGACATGATAAGCTTTTATCAAGTCACGTTGTTCTTCAACCACCCTGAGTCTGTGCTTTTCTTAGAAGGTCCACTTTATTGTGTATTACAGATGATCTGCATCTGTATTAAAAAACCCACCACAGACTTCGCTAAACTAAGGGCGCTCTGTCCTACGCTCTGGCATTTTTTCTATAACTCTAACACAGCAAATATGCAAATAATGGCATTAACCTGGCTTTAAGACTAATCTTGGGATTTCATATCTAAAGCTTCAATGTTTTATCCCTGGTAAGTAGGCAAGGTTGAATTTAAACCTAGATAATCAAGCATTTTTTTAACTTAGACATTTGACCAAATATTAAAGCTATATACAGTGGTACCCTGAGATACGAATGCTTCGAGTCACAAAATGTTTGAGATACGAAAGGTCTCGTGGGAAATTTTTTGCTTCGAGATGCGAAGAAAAATTCGAGATACAAACAACCACAAGCTGTTCTGCTCTATTTTCCGCTTGTTTGTATGACGTCGCGAAGCGCTTCCCGGTCCAGGCGCTCCTATCCCCCAGTGCAAAAAGGGTCTGAAACGCTTCAAAACACTTCAACAACACAATGAAACATTACGTATAGATTACTAATAATGTGCTATAACAAATGTTAGAGTCAAGGCGTCTTAAAAGATACAACGTTTATAACGTGGAAAGTGCTGTTCTGTAGTGCAACTTAGAGAAACCCTGTGACGAGTTCTCAGAAGCGTCTCTCCATCTGTCTGCGCTTGTGCTTGAAACCGTGTTTGTGTTATTAACTCGTGAAATATCTCGAGAAAGTTAACTTTCATATGTGGAGCAGTAATGTTTTCTGCATCCGTTCCACCTCCTCCGACACATCACTTCACTCTCAAGGTAAGATTTCACTTTTGTGAACATATTACGTATTTGTCTTGTGTTTTATTCTGTTTTATTATCATTTATTACATTAACAATGTGTAGATTTAAGGATTGAAGAAACTTTACTTGATTTTTCTCTGGTTTTCCATTTTTTTTATCAACATACTGTTGTTTCTGAGAGCCGTTGTATGGATTAGGCCTTTTACATGTAAAACTTGCTTTGAGATACGAAATGTTCGAGACACAAATGTCACCCTGGAACGGATTACTTTCGTATCTCGGGGTACCACTGTAATAATATGGTTAAGATCTCTGTCCCGCTTTAACGAGCACAATCCACAACCTTCTCCTTATTCAAATATTAGACTTCGCATATATTTAAGAAGTGAAAAATGACTAAATTTGTGTGAGTTTGTTTTCCATAAGTCACCCTTTATTGATTTCAATACCTTTAGTAAGTATTAGAACTTAGAAACCTCAGTGACCCTTGGTCTCCACACACAGGCAAATCCAATCAGAAGACAGCATTTGTACATTTTTCTCCTCTTCGCATCTTCTCTAAAGAGTGGGAGCCTCAAAACAACTCTCAGATGAGCAGTTGATGGTTTAGGGGAAGGACACGGAAAGCTCTCAGGCACTCGGCCTGATGTGGCATACCAAGTAGAATCTCAGATAGTTGGCAGGATGTTGAGAGCGGTCACAGGCAACCCACAGACCAGCTCCAAAGACATACAATATCCTCTTGCTGCAGATGGCGCCACTGTGCATCGTCTAACCGTTTATAGGAGATGCTGTAGATGCTGTATTGCAGAAAAAGTATTTTCTCTGCACACGGCACAAACAGCGTCGCTTGAGGTCTACTGAAGCACAAGTGGCATCAGTACATCCAGGTCGGATCATTTAACAAGGCCAATCATGAAGAGGAACAAGTAGAACGTTCTGGAATGGTCATCTCAGTCCCCAGATCTGAATATTACTGAATATTTGTGGTGCTCAGAAACCACCAAACCTGACAGAGCAGTAGAAAGTGTTTAGAGGCTGTTGTTTCTGCCTCTAAGTTAATGTTCTTTTATGGCACATTTTCCATAATCATATTACCTTTATCTAACTTCTCAAATATCATTTGTATATATTACATTTAACAGAAATTTCTCATAAAGACATTGGTTTACTAAGGAAAATCATGAAAATTGACAGGGGTGCCCAAACATCTATTTTAATAAACATCCAGCTGGGTTAAGGGTGGCCAACAAAATATAACAGACATCCTTTGCTTTCTCAACTTGAGGAGATGCTGCAGGGCTGTTGTTTAATTGTTGCGACAATGAATGTTTCTGGCATCTCGTGTCGATGTCTCGAGTCATGAGCGGATGAGCTCTACAGATGCATGTGAAATCAATGAAGCTGCTGAGCATGATGCGTGGAGAAATCTATGAAGGGATTATGTAAGCATTCAAAAGATTAATCTAACAAAGGGGTGTAAATCAATTTACACATATGCCAATGTTTCTTTCATTAAAAAATTGTGCTGACATAAAAGCTCTCCGCATGGCGTGAATAGCTGCATGTTTGTGAGAGATAAGACCAAACAACCTCAACGACCATCATCTCCATCTGTAAAATCTTTATTGAATAAAGCTGCTTAGAGTTACAGCCAGTATAGCAGATTACAGCTGCTAATATTTCAAGGAATATTGCATAATAATGAGGAAAGGTTTATTTAGATTATTTATTTAAATAAATTTGAGGTTGGCCGCTAGAGAATGTTTGACCTTGTAAAGAAAATGTTTAACTTTAAACACACTAAAAAACCATTAGAGAAAACAAACAAACAAAAAATGAACCATTTGGGTAAAGGTTGAAGATTGAAATGGATTAAAGATGAAAAAATGTTTAACTTTTGGAATCAGTTAAAAGTTTGAAACCACTAGTTGCTAGGGTAAACATCATCATGTTATGAGCTCCTTACCTCTAAGATTAACAAAAAGTAATCCCCTGCATCTCTGTGATGTTCTGATTTGAAGACTTTTTGATTTTGTCAAAGTATACATGGCTTAAAGGTTTGAGGACGTTGTAATCTACTTAGTGTAGTGGGTGACGAGAGAGACACAGACACACTTGCACTTTTCAAGGCTACACAGGGCTTTTATTTCAAATCAGGGATCCATAAATTATTAAAAAGTCACTTAGTGCTCTGTCGGAGATGGTGGTGAGCAGGTTTGCCAAGCGCAGTTCCGGGTAGTTTGCTGGGGTACTCCGGTGTGCCCTCACCCTGTTCATTCCAGTAGTGCATGGGTTTACGGACCTGTCTCCGTGCTGACTAGATCCATGCTCCCTGTCATCCAATCCAGCCGAGCCCCAGTTACTCAACTGGCCTGGCGGTGATACTTCTTACATGGTCGGGGCCCCCTTCGGTGACCCCCGGTCCCTTTCTAGAGCGGTAGATCATGATGGATCTCTGATCGGAATAAAAACGAATGAAAATGTCAAATGCTTTCTGAACTAATACAGCCACCGTACTCATGGGACAGGTGGCATCAGGGGTTGGAGTGTATCTATTTACAAAGCATTGTTTATCATGTGGTGAAACTTGAGGTAGTTTGTAATCGAGCATCATTTGCAGCGTGCATCCGAAGACAACACAAATTATTTCGTAAAAGATGTCGAAGGACAAAATTGAGGAGTTAAGTCTGCACATCTTGCGCACGTTGTCCGAGTCATCAGACCCATTGTTTATTTCTGAGTGCGCGTTCATTCTAACCAGTCTAGAAAACCCGTACGATGACGTATGTGGTCCATGTGACGTCACATGGCTTTATTAGGTGTGCACCAGAGCAATCCGTGTGGTGGGTTTGAGAAATAAATCAGCAGATGATTTCAACAATGCATCAGTTAATCTCAACTCGAAATGTGAAGCACCCTTACCCTTGCCATGCTCACCAAATCCGCTTGTGAACTAAACCGCTTAGATATCCATCACTGCCAACTTGTGAACACAAATACACATTTGAATAGTACATACCTTTGAATGCCACCAAAGGCCAGGACGTGTCGGTGCCGGGCTGTGACACTCCTGCAGCGGTCCAAGTGACATTTCAAGGCTGGCAATGTAGTGGGTGTGAAGCAAAGGGTGAACGGTAACCGTCAGACAATTTGGTGTTCTTCAGCTAAACAGAACATGGCATCCTCAAGAAAGCACATCAGCACTCGTGTCAACTTTCCTTAAAGGAACAAAGTAAAAAAGATTGTGACTGCACTGTAAAAAAAAACAATGTCCAATTCACAGGAATTTAAAGGCAAAAAATGTTGCTAATAAAATCATGTAAAATATCAGCTAATTGCTGTAAATACAGTGTGCTTAAAGTAAAATACTTCTTGGCGATTACCAATAAAAATTATGTTGGCAGAACACGTCTTGTTCGTGTTTTTACAGGATTATAAAATTTAACGTGTAGTTACATTTTCACGTGTAGTTACATTTTCACGTGTAGTTACGACAATTCATCACTGTCACTGGAAATGTATAAATACAAAGGGACATGGACAAAAAGAACTGTAACTAGGACTTGTGCGTTATGTTCAGGTAGGTATTTATTTATTTATTTTATTTTTATTCATTTACTGTTTTTTTCTCTTCTATTTTTACTATTATTATTATTATTTCTCTTTTTTTCTCTCTCTCTTTTCCTCTTCCATTCTTTCATTTACACTCGTGTACCCCCTCACCCCTCACCCTTCGCCAGCCCTTTGTCCACTCCCCCTTTCAGTCCAACGCTGTCTTGTCCTGACACAACTATTATAAACTGACTCGCGGGAGCCACAAGTAATAAATATTTACATACATTCAATGCTC